CCCTGCTCTCTTTTCCCTTTGAAGAAGTTTTTCTCCACTCGTCCTGTACCACATTGTAAAGCAGTATATGGCTGTGCCACCTGATTCCCCCAGGTGATTGGGATAAATGCCAATGCCAAATTCCTATAACTGTCCCCATGAGTGATTTATTACCAAAGCCGTGGCACCCACTGATTCTGAATTTTAGTGCATCCATATCCAACTTGGAGTAAGAGAAATAGCTTAATAAAATTCAACACGTTTTACTGAGCGCCTTTTCTACCAAGCATCTGACAAAGTGTTAGGCACTTAGAATATAAAAATGAATAAAGAGGTCCTTGCCATACTGGGATGCCTTCTACTCTTTGTACCATGATTTTTTTTTTTTTTTTTAAGATTTTATTTATTTGACAGAGAGAGACCCAGTGAGTGAGGGAACACAGACAGGGGGAGTGGGAGAGGGAGAAGTGGGCTTCCCGCGGAGCAGGGAGTCTGATGCAGGGCTCGATCCCGGGACTCCAGGATCATGACCTGAGCCGAAGGCAGACGCTTAACGACTGAGCCTCCCAGGCGCCCCTCTTTGTACCATGATTTAATCTGTAGTGGAGACTGCTGCTCCTCTGATTCCTCTGATTCCCATAGGCATGGGTCCCATCTTTTATCATCTCATCATAAGCGAGGGAGCCTCGGGCAATGCCAGAAGGAAGTCGTCTAGACACAAAGCAAGAGTATTTTGACAGTATCAGTTACAAAACAAAGCATAATACATGACTCTTGAATTGACTGTTCTGAATTATCCATGTTTACTCCTCAGGTCAGTCTCTAGTTATAAAATATAGTATCCTGTTGTTTTTCGCTAAATAATGGTTCCTCCAACTGTCCATGTGATTGGCATTGAGCATGTTCATCGTAGTAATGAATTAGGTACAGCTAGTTTAACTCTGCCTGCCACATGAAAGCTGCCACTGTCATCAGGGTGGGTGTCAGGTTTGAAGGGTGCCCTTTTCCCACTTCAGATTCATTTGTGATGTTCTATTTTCAACTGAGGGGTATAGATTAACCTGCTTTATTTAAGCCATTGACCACCTCTAGGTCACCCTTAAGGTTTAGAAAAACCTAGCTTCATGTTGAACGTTAACCAATATCATCAGGATAGCCAGATACTCAGTTCTGGACTTGAAAATCTGTTTGTGGCCTCTAGCCCACCTGAAGTCTTGAGTAAATGCCTGTCACCATCTTAGGCTAATACATCATGGCCTAGGTATTCAATGAAGAAGCCCTGTATCCTTGTTTCTCTTGAAGCCCCTCTATCACCATCAAAAAGCAAGATGGTTTCTCATAATATGATCCAGCTCTCTGCCTTCGGGCGGAGAGCCATTCCTAGTTCTCAGATGACACATCTTCAGAAGGTAGAACACAAATCACCTACTTCCAAAGGCAGAACTACCAACATTCAGCACTGTCTCCTGGGCCTGTGATACACACCTAGAAAGACATTAATTAAAAATAAAGTGAATTGTTACAGTTTTTATAGTTTATTTCACATTATTTGTGTTTACATTTACTCCCAATGACATTTTTATACCCACTTTATACCTTGATCCTAACCACAGAGTCTACAGAATTTCAGGGCAAAAGATACTCGTGTCTTGGCTTTCCCCTGATTTCCCTGTACCACCCACCGCCACTACTTATTTAGCCTCTGGGTTTATTTCTTCCTGTCTTCCCCCTCACTCCGACTTACCCTGTTTCTTTGAAACCTATCGTAATAAGCTTTGAGCCACTTCTCCCCTTGCTATTCAGATATTTTATGCTGAATCTAATGAAGGAAAGATGTAAATGGCAAAAAAATTTTTTTTAAAGATTTTGTTTCTTTATTTGACAGCGAGAGCACACAAGCAGGGGGAACAGCAGACAGGGAGAGAGAGAAGCAGGCTCCCCGCTGAGCAGGGAGCTCGATGCGGGGCTCGATCCCAGGACCCCAGGATCATGACCTGAGCCAAAGGCAGATCCTTAACCAGCTGAGCCACCCAGGCGCTCCGGCAAAAATATTTTAAAGAAATAGTTTTTAAACATGGTTTGAAGCATACTAATCATGATTTGTTAGAAGGCCAAAAGTCAGTGAATGCCTTCCCTTTCATTTCTCCAGCCTTCTGGGTTAAGTTTTCAAGGGACTTCGTAGGTATACTAACTGGGCTTGCCCCAGATTGCCTCTTCCCAGTTCGAGGGAGGAGACAGGACTGCAACACTGGTAAGGAGAGGCACCACTGATAGGTCTTGGGCAGGAGAACTTGGCTGGAAGGTTCCATCCCATCTGTGTTCCAAGGCTCTTATCTTAGCTGATAAGTCTTTTCAAAGCAAGGACTCTTCTTTCAGTTTAACACTTTATTTTTTTTTTTAATTTTTTATTGTTATGTTAATAACCATACATTACATCATTAGTTTTGGATGTAGTGTTCCATGATTCATTGTTTGTGCATAACACCCAGTGCTCCACACAGAACGTGCCCTCTTTAATACCCATCACCAGGCTAACCCATTCCCCCACCCCCCTACTTTTGATATAACAGTAAACAGGCCAAGATTTTTCCTGTGCATTTAAAATTTTTTGGAATGATGATGAATGAAATAAAGGACTGCCTGTTTATCATTTAATCTTGCCTTCCCAAAAGGATTTAAAGCACTTTGAAGGAAAGAGAACAAAATCTATTGAGCATCTACTCTGTACTGGGCTCTATGCTGCAGTGATTCTATACGTTACTTCATTTACTCCTTAAAACAACCATGGGAGGTAGGTAGTGTAGCCACATTTTGAAAATGAGACCAAGACAGGGAGTGTCCCGTGGCCAGTAAATGAGGAGAGGGATTCAAACTCAGGGCTCCAAAGCCCTGAACCATTATGTGGAAAGCATGGATAAACACTTGTATACAGGACAATTAACCATAAAAGATCATCTTTCCAGTAGAAGGATCATACCAGATAATCTTTAGTTTTGAAGAAGAATACAGTGGGGCACCTGGGTAACAGACTGATTTCGTCTCAGGTCATAGTGTCAGGATCATGAGATCAAGCCCCGTGTCGGGCTCCATGCTGAGTGTGGAGCCTGCTTGAGAGTCTCTCTCTTTCCCTTTGGCTTTACCCCTTTCCATCCTTTCTCTTTTCCCTCTCCCTCTCTAAAAAAGAAGAATACAGCATTAGAACAGGGCAGTTAACAATTTTTATTAGTTGATTTCTATTCTAGAACAATGGGAAGAGCAGTTGGAAGGTCTGGTTAACCCCAGAGAACAGACATACCCAGATTGCCAGGTTATGGGCCAGCATTAGGGTAAAAAATAAAATTGGAAGCAGGAAGGGAAATAGGTATCTGCTAAATATAATCATTTGAACCTCTCTGACCACTACTGAAGATTATTTGCCAGTAAATAGATCACTATCTCTCTATTGGGTAGATACTGTATGACCACAAACATTGTCATTTAGGGTCCAGAAAGCTCTCCCCAAGTAGTCAGATTTTAAGGTAGAGAACCATATATCCTTTTAATGCCTGCAGTTTTCTGTTCTTGTCAGTAGAATGCAGTTACGGCCTTCAGTGCCATGTGACACATTCAGATAAGGGTCAGAGGTAGTTGGACCAAAGACCGGAGAAAGCTCTTACCTTTTCCACATCTCCCCAGTCCTGCTCCATACATCCTGGAAACACTCACTCCAAGAGACTAGGTCGTGGACTGCACCCAGCCCTAGGCCTGTGAAGCTTTTCTGCAGACATTGTTTCAGAGCCTTCTGGAACCAAGTCTTTTGCTCTTCCTGGCCTGGGTTCAGTCTCTCTGTATAGTCCTCTTCAGTTTTTATCTGTCATTGCGGAACCCTTCCAAGGACAGACACTGAGGGAAAGTATTAGAATAGCAAGGGCAACAAATTGCAGGCCGACTTGCGGTGTAGCATATCCTAGGAACCTAGAATGAAACAACGTCCGTTTTCTGTTTCTAATACTTGACCTTTGCACAGCACATTTTAGTTCATAAGCTCACAGAGCTCAGCTAATCCTGTGAGTTAGGAGAGTAGTTCTCTGCAGAGGGCTTTCCCCTTTACAAGGGCTCTTGTGTGTGTGATGTCATGGAACCCTTAGAGCTGCTCCAGGTACTTGAGGATGTGGGGCTAGGACGCGCCTCTTTGGGTACCTGACCCAGTGTTCTTTCCACTGCAGCGCCTGCCTCCGGTTCCTTCCCATCCCTTGCCCCACCAGGGACGACTCTTCTGCCCTTCATCCCGCCATTGCTCATCTGTTTGCCTTCATCTCTTCCTGAGCTGCCAAAGTAAATCCAAAACAAGCAATGGAAACCTCAATTGATGATTTCTGAAGCGGATTTAGAAACAGCAGGTTTTATGTGGGCCAGCATTAGGGTAAAAATGTTCCTTTGTCTTTGGAGAGCGAGAGCAGGAATGCTGCTGTCAATGCAGACTTCACAGACTCCGTGGTAGACAGTCTGGTGGCCAGTGCTCCGTGGAAACAAGGAGAGCTTCTAGTCTGCTTTCCTGCGCGTGGGTTCTCAGACTCTGAAGACGACTGAGACCCCTTCATTAAGCCAAAAGACCCTGTTGATTCTGTCTTCTCTCAGAACTCCCAAGGAAAACAGCCTCACTGAAGATAGCCATAAAATTTTAAAAACCACAAACCGTGTAGAAAACAGACCACCATGGGGTAGAGACTGCAGATTCAGGAGGGAGGACAATTAGCACATAAAGACCGAGAAATGAGGGAACTCTAAAGCAAACTATGAAAGTAGGCAGTGGATATTTGAGGCTACTGGAAGGGAAGTAAGAGCACGAATGAATGAAAAGCCATTTGAGATACAGATAAAAATAAATAGTAGGGTCATTGAAATTAAACTCAATTTGCTGGGAAGCATCTAATTAGACCCAGCTCTTAAGAGCGGATCGCTAACCTTGAAGGTGGATCTGAGGCTGAGGTAATGACCCAAAAGACTGCAAAATGAAGAACCTTCAGGTTGCATGTGGAGAGGGGTGCAGAGGGGGCAGGACTGGGAAGACTAGGGGTGACCTGAACAGAGTCGTTCATTCAACATACAAGTGACTGTTACCTACCAGCGTGGTGTAGGAGACGGTCATGTTTTTAAAAGGTCCCACTGATACCGTTCAGTGGTTCCTAATGGCTCAACCAGGGGAATGGAAGTGGAGATGAGATAGATGAATTGGAAAGACATTTAGAAGGAAGGATTAACAAGATCGGTGAATAAAAAAGAGTGTAGAAACAGTGGAGGGCAAGGTGGATTCTTGCTGATAAAAAAAGAGGAAGAAAACTTTAGCTTATTCGTTTAAATTCCCTTACTGCGCACTTTATTATGCATGTTGGAAAGTTGAAGGAGTTTCGTAGGAAGCATAACCAGTGGCTGTATCTGGTATCCCAGGATCGATACCACAGACGTGGTGATAGAGGTGTGCCCAGGTTGCTGCAGAAGCACAGTGATTTCTCACCATTTTAAGGGTAAGGGGAATGGGATCAAAGAAAATATCTCAGAAAACATGAAGTCTGAGCTGTCTTAGAAGTAAAGTTTCACCTAATGAAGGGTAAAGACTCACAAGGAACAACATGTTCTAAAGCCAAAGAGATGGGATTTGTGTGTGCTTCACAGGCATACACGATGCGTGTGTGTGTGTGTGTGTGCGCGCGCACGCGTGCACGCGTGGGCGTGCTGCGTGTATTGAGGAGGATTGAAGAGGAGGGAGAAAAGAAAGTCTGCCTAATCTATAATACTTAGGAGTTTGTCTTTCACTTACGAGACAGAGGAATGGTTGAGGATCTTAAATAGGAAAGGGACATGATCACGTTTGCCAACAGTGCCGGTCACTCTTGTGATATGGTCCTTGGTAACTTGAAGGTAACATACTTGGAGGCAGGTGGCTCAGGATTGGAGGCAGTTGGAGTAATCCAGACAAGAACTGATAAGGAGCTAGGGTGTAAATCATAGGAATGAAGAAGAGGGGGCCATGTGAAGAAATGGAACACACCATGCAGCATTGGAGGTGGGGGGTGGGAACATTGCATTTAGAAGGAACAGCCTTCCTACAGGCATGGTGTCCTGAAAAGACACCCCCTTTCGATTGGAAGATCAGCAGTGCACCCATGATAGCTCCGTGATAACACAGCAAAGGGGAGGATATTAGGCTTGAAAAATCAACTGAGGGCTGATTGTGAAGAGCTTCATGTGCCATGCCAAGGATGTTATAGCTGATCTTATTAACAGAAGTATTTTTAAATGTTGAGCAGTGCAGTTGGGACTATAATTTAGAAAGATAGTTAACATTGGGTTGCCATTGCTCTTCTGAGCACTTGGCAGAGGGTGGTATGTTTAATCCTCATAGTCACGCTATTAGATGGATACCATCCTTGCCTCCATGCCACAGATGGGGAAACAGGCATAGAGAGCATAGGAACTTAACTATTGGCCTCACACCTACTAAACGGTACAGCCCAAATTTAACCCCTGACACCAGACTCACTCCTTAACTTACACGCCCTAGGTGGTTCCTCCACCATCACACACATCAGGACCACGTGTAGCATTTCGAAGGATACAGTTGCCTACATTGACTAAATCCCAAGTATCCAGAAGAGTGTTGAGTGATACTTACTTTGCAAAAGCTTCACCATAATTATGCTGCCCTTTACTCATGGTCGAGTACGCAGGGATCCCAGTTAGGAAGTTAGGTCAATAGTCCAGGCGAGAGCTGAGGGCCCAAACTAAAGCGGTCTCTGGCAAAGAGGAGGAAACAGATTTAGAGGCTTACGAGGTAGAATTGGTTTAATGGGCTGTAAGCAATGGGAAAGAATCAGAATTGAGTCTAAAGATTACAAAGTTGAGTGTTTACTTAGCTAGTGATGATCTCAGCCAAGACAGGATCTTGGGAAGAGGGGTGGATTTGGGAGTCAGCAGAATGAGTTCAGTTTTGAACACTTGGGTTTGAGGGTCCAGAGGTCCTCCCATTAAGATGTCTTAGTAAGCGGAAGGTTGCTCTTGGGAGTGCCTGTGCACCCGCCACTGTGTAAGGGGCTTTCCTCACTGTTACCTCACACAATTTGCCCCTCAAATCTCTTGAGAGTCCCCATTTTACAGAGGAATTCATATTGAGTGTAATTCAGTTTGCAGTGAGCCTTTATAAAGGCTTCCCCATCTGTTTCAGCCTGGCGGATGTGTCTCCTCTCCTGGTGTGTATGTAAACGTGTGTGTGACATGGTCAGTACCACATGTTCCAGCAGGCAGTGAGCAGCGTCCTTGGTCCTCACCATTCTCCTTGCAGGTTCACAGGGTTCTTGAAGAAGAGGTGCAGTTTTTTTCTGTTTCTCTATGGGGTGTGAACCTGGCCAAGGACAAGGGGTAAGAGAACATACTTGAGGCATAGATCATCCGATTTCAGCCAAATCTATTTAGAGCTGATGGTTGTGGAGATTGGGGGCAGGGGATTTAATAGTGTAAGGAAGTGTTATGTGTGCGGGGTTATGAGTGAACTCAGAACTATTTTCCCTGTGTATAATCTCATGCTTATACTCATGTTTGTCTCTACTTCTCTGCCCCAGGTCCCTTGGGAGAAACTCCTTGAGGTGCCCAGGCTGAGACTGGGGGCTAATGACAGTGTGAGCTCTAGATGGTGTGAGACCCCTCCCCCCGAGAGCCAAACAATGGCTACAGCCTTGGAACCAGAGGACCAGGATCTTTGGGAAGAAGAGGGAATTCTGATGGTGAAATTGGAAGATGATTTCACCTGTAGGCCAGAGTCTGTCTTACAGAGAGATGACCCTGTGCTCGAGACCTCACACCAGAACTTCCGGCGCTTTCGCTACCAGGAAGCCGCAAGCCCTCGAGAAGCTCTCATCCGACTGCGAGAACTTTGTCATCAGTGGCTGAGGCCTGAAAGGCGGACAAAGGAGCAGATCCTAGAGCTGCTTGTGCTGGAACAGTTCCTTACCGTCCTGCCTGGAGAACTGCAGAGCTGGGTGCGGGGCCAACGGCCAGAGAGTGGCGAGGAGGCAGTGACGCTGGTGGAGGGTTTGCAGAAACAACCCAGGAGACCAAGGCGGTGGGTGAGGAGGGGGAGTCCTGATCTATGTGATGTGGAGGGGGCCTATTTGTTTGCTGGAAGGATGGATTTGGGGGTAGGGCATACAAGGCCCCCATCATTTACCCTTTAAAACTAATTGGCTGTGCTCTCAGGTTGCACCTAGATCCGTAAGGGGCAGAGGTGTGTGTGTGCGTGTGTTTGTGTGTGAGTGAGTGTGACTTTCTCGTTTTTGAAACACCTGCCTAGGGAGGATCTTAGGGATCTCAGCACTCAAGGGTCATACGGTTTTTTCCTTTCTTTGGCTTTTGAACCTCTAGTTCCTGGGGAGGCCAATTTTGTGACTTCCTCAAAAGATCTAGACTCTCAGTCACAGATCCCCCTCCCCCAGGACCATAAGACAGGGAAGCAAAAACAACAAGGAGAGAGCTACGGGTGGGAGAGGTAGAGATGGGAAGGATGGGTGTCCTAGAGCCCTGGGTGACGGACAGGGTTGAGGAGGGTAAGGAAGCTGTGCAGTATCCAAACATCCCTGCCTTGTCCTGGTGAGGGTAACCTGCAACAGCTCTTGCGTGCCCCAATGGAACCGGAGACTCCCCTCCTCATCTGGGACCCTTTGGGAGTGTTCCTGTTGGCAGGTTCTCCAAAAATAAGCCCTGATGTCAACCGAGACTTTCCTCTTGACTCCATGCTGACTGGAAATTGGAATTATTCCCAGGTGACTGTCCATGTTCATGGCCAGGAAGTCCTGTCAGAGGAGACGGTGCATCCGGAAGCAGAGCCCGAGTCACCTAGTGAGCTGCAGAACCCTGTGCAGACCTCGACTCCCGAGGCGTCCCGTGAGGAGACCATACAGAGCCCCAGTCTGGGGCCACCAGAAGAGCAGAGCCTGTGCCATGAATTGGAGTTCCAGCCCCTGCAGGAGAGCGGTGGGAAGCCTCAGCAGAAGCGGGGCATTGTAACGGGCAGAGCGTGGGAAGGGGGATATTTCCCCTCTACTAAGGAGGCTAGGTGTGGGGAGCATAGTGGGAATAAATCACAGAATCCAGGGTGTTGAGAGGAGACGGCACTAGCTAGAGTCCCCCAGAAACTGGGCCGAGCTTTAATAGCCAACCAATCCTTGGTGGTTCTCTTGGCATTTCAGTAGTGTTCCAGATGGTGGCCCTGGGATGATTCGAGCTGCCCTTGGGCCAGTTTCCTGATTCCTACCAAAGAGCATGAGAGCTACTCGGCTCTTTGCCACTTACCTGGGCAAACTGCATATTGCTGATCTCCGCATTCTTTTCTTCGTAGAGGTTCCAGTGTCCCAGGACCCAGACCTTCCTGAAGAGAGGAACACTGGAAACCCAGAGATGGTTGCCCTTCTTACTGCTCTTTCACAGGTGTGCTCTAGTTTGCCTCTGTGCCTCAGATAATTTGAAGAACCATCAGGCATTAGCTGTATACTGAACGGGTCAGACAGGACACAAATTTCCACCCTCCTTTTGCCAACTTAAGTTCTCAGTTCTAGACGTGTCTACAGCAGGAGTTGAATCGAATGGGATGAATTATCATAGTCTCAGTTGGATCTGCAGGCTCCAGAGCCTCTTTATTTGCCACTGCCCAGAGGGAGGAACTAACAAGATAGGATTATTTTAGAACTCTCCAGTACAACCTGGAAGTTGCTGAATGAAGGCTTGTTTTTTGTGTGTTTTTAAGGAGTAAACTTGATAGTCATTTGTGAGAATGGCTAACTGCTGCAGAAATGATTTCCAAAATTGTGTGGTATCCTCTTGTAAGGACTGCACTCAGGCCACTACTCATAGGAATCCCTTAAAATGGTCAGGGCCCGAAAACTAAGCTAGAGGCTGGAGAGAAAAGGAAAAGAAGCATCCGTGGTTTCAGATTGTAGTCTAGCTGCAGCAAAAGGGCCTGTGTGTGCTCTGCCGACCATGTAGGTGATGGGGGTCCCTGGAGAAGGTCAGTTAGGGAGAGCTTTCCAGAAAAGGTGAATTTTTGCAGAAACGTAGGTGGTATTAAGGCATCAATTAGGGAGTTAATTAGGACTTTTAAGACTTTTCTTGTGCGTTAACCCATATGCTCAAGAAGAAGAGCAGAGGCTTGCCCTGAGAGAAAGTGGTGGGACTGGGGGGCCCGGAGGAGGAAGTAGGAAGTCGGGGAGCGGCAGCCAAGGGTGCCACAGATTTCCCCAAGGGAGCCCGGAGTCCTGTGTGCGTTCCTTTTGTCTCCGGGCGTAACCTTCATTCCAGGAACGAAATGGGCGGCTCCGGGAAGCTCCCCTTTTTAACTGAAGCCTGTGTCGTTTCAGGGATTGGTAACTTTCAAGGACGTGGCTGTGTGCTTCTCCCAGGACCAGTGGAGCGATCTGGATCCCGCACAGAAAGAGTTCTATGGAGAATATGTCTTGGAAGAAGACTGTGGAATTGTGGTCTCTTTGTGTAAGGAATTTCAAGTGTTTCTAGGGTGTTCTGAGCACAGAGGTCTTTCTCCTGTTGGAAATCGTGGGGGTCTTAGATCTTAGACTATAGGCACCACGCTTCTCTTACGCCTGCCCCCCCCCGTGAGATTGAAGGAGGAGCTATAATATAAGCAAGACGATATCCTTCCAAGTTCAAGGGAAGAGGAAATGCTTAGAAAGTGCTTGGAAACTTCTAATAAGAGAATAAAATTATAATATATAGCTTTTTAGTATGTTGGAGGTAGCGTGTGAGTTTTGGAAACAAGCAATAGAAGTTGATCTGCTTACTTGAATACGGGGAAAGAGGGAGCATTAACGGTCCTAGATCATTGAGTCGCAGACAAAGGGCATGAGATATGCAGGATTTGGTGAGAGGTGCTCGAGCTAAAAAGACCAGATTGGATCCACTGACTGGGCTGTCCGTTTGTTCTGCAGTCTACCCAACAGCAAAGATCTGCTCTTAACACGGGGAATTGCCGAACCAATCGTAATGTCCCGCTTTCCCTCTCTTGAGCAGCATTTCCAATCCCCAGACTAGATGAGATCTCCCACGTTAGAGAGGAAGAGCCTTTGGTCCCAGATACCCCAGAGCCTCAAGAGCCTCAAGAGCCAGAAATCCTGAGTTTTACCTACACAGGTGAGGAACGACAAAAGGCATCTTCCCCCACAGAGCTGGCACTTCCCCTCTCCCTCTGGGGTGCCCCTCTCATTGGTTCTTCTAACCTGTTGGCCATCACCCCTGTCCCCCTCTGAATGCCAAGTTCTTCTGTCCTCACCCCCCTCTTTCCCTCCCATCATTCGTGTAATGTAAGATGGTGAAAGAGAAAAAATGGGAACTTCGGAATGCAGCTGTAGTCATGTATGAAGCAGGTCACTTAAACTCTTGGTCCTCAGTGTCCACATTTGTGAAATGGGGATAATAATCTTTGTCCGCACCGAGGCTTGTCGACAGCATGAGATACCATGTAAGAAAGTGCCTGGCACGTGACAGAAATCAGTTGACCAGTTATTTCCTTCTTTCCCAGCCTCTGCAGTTATGAAATGTGGGCTTCTCTCTGTGTGGTCTTGCCTTCCCAAGACAGTTTAAAAACGCCGCCGTTGCGTGGAAGGCATCGTCCCCTCTATAATTTCCCCTGTTCTCCTCTCACCCTCTCTGCAGGAGATAGGAGTGAAGATGAAGAAGAGTATCTTGAGCAGGAAGATCTAAGTTTGGAAGATCTACACAGATCTATTTTGGGAGATCCAGAAATCCACCAGACTCCAGACTGGGAAATAGTCCTTGAGGATGATCCAAATAGACTTAACGAAAGAAGATTTGGTACAAGTATTTCCCAAGTTAATAGTTTATCGAATCTTCGGGAAACCATGCCTATCCACCCCTTGTTAGGGAGACACCATGACTGTCCTGTATGTGGGAAAAGTTTCACTTGTAACTCCCACCTTGTTAGACACCTAAGAACTCATACAGGAGAGAAACCCTATAAATGTATGGAGTGTGGAAAAAGTTACACGCGGAGCTCACATCTTGCCAGGCACCAGAAGGTTCACAAAATGGGCACTCCTTATAAATTTCCCCTAAACCGGAAGAATTTGGATGAGGCCTCCTCTCTGGTCCAGGCTGAGAGAACTCCACCTGTTGAGAAACCCTATAGGTGTGACGATTGTGGAAAACACTTCCGCTGGACCTCAGACCTTGTCCGGCATCAGAGGACACACACAGGAGAAAAACCCTTCTTCTGTACTATTTGTGGCAAAAGCTTCAGCCAGAAGTCTGTGCTGACAACACACCAAAGAATCCACCTCGGAGGCAAACCCTACCTGTGTGGAGAGTGTGGGGAGGACTTCAGCGACCACAGGCGGTATCTGGCGCACCGGAAGACCCACGCAGCTGAGGAGCTGTATCTCTGTAGCGAGTGTGGGCGGTGCTTCAACCACAGCGCTGCGTTTGCCAAGCACCTGCGAGGACACGCCTCAGTGAGGCCCTGCCGGTGCAACGAATGTGGGAAAAGTTTCAGTCGGAGGGACCACCTTGTCAGGCATCAAAGAACCCACACTGGCGAGAAACCGTTCACGTGCCCTACCTGTGGAAAAAGCTTCAGCAGGGGCTATCACTTAATCAGGCATCAGAGGACCCACTCAGAAAAGACCTCCTAGCTAGCTTCCTGTGTGAGGAGGTCTGCATTCAGCCCTCACCCGGGGATGGGCGAGGAGATGCCCTCTTGTCAGCTCGGGAAGACCTTTTCCAGGGAGTCTCCCTGACTTGCCCAGATCTCCGTCACCTCTTCCCACAGCTAAATTAAAATCCCCCTGGCAGAACCTCTCAACCTTCTTCTGCACCTTGAGGAGATTTTTTTGCCCAAAGTACAACCTGGGTGGAGGCTTCTCCTTGACTGGAGTGTTCCCGCCTCTACCTCATGGGTGTGAAGGAGGAGATTTAGAAGACTTCCGAGGTTGTGGTTATTATATTTTGCCCAAAATAGGCTGTTGCATATCCTAAAGACTGCTTCACAGCCTCAAGTATAAAGTTGCCCAGGACGGCCCTTTAGGTATGGTAAGGGACCAGCCTCTAGGATTCTGTCCTTACTGGGCTCAAATCTTAAAGCACACAGCCCTGAACTCAAGGCAGGAGATTTGCATCCTCATGGCTCTGCCACACACTCACAGGATAACTACAAATCTCTCACTGGTTCACTTCTTCACCATGCACTTTCCTTTGATCCTGGGGAGAGATGGGAGAAGTGTCTGATGGGGGAAAACCTCGAGGCTGTTTCCCGTGGACCTTGTCAGGCTGCTCCCTTACCCATTGCCAAATACCAGGTGCCAGACCCTGCTAGAAAGGAGGACCTAGTCAGAAGCCTCTTTCCTTGTGGGATGCTTTCCTGTTAGAATACTCATGCCCACCCTTCTTAGTGTTCTACGAGCCTCTTGGTTTTGCCCCTAGCACTTCTGCAAAAGTGAGGCGCAAGTTGGGTGCTGGGGGCGTCAGTTAAACCATGATATCATTTACATTCCCACACGTGTACAAGCCCACCCCTCCTGCCCTCTTCACATGGGTTTGTGAGGGGATTTTGGAACCATGTCAGCTTACATAGGTACTATAGTAATTACAGAGTCATGATTGATTGGGTCACTTCCTTTATATGAGGAACATGAGAAGACCTGAGACCAAACTGTGGAAGCAAAATTTTTAAAAGCTGTTGCTGCTGGCGAAGGCCATCAAGACTATACTGACACCCAGCCCCTGTCATCCCCGCCTTGGTTCTCTCATATCAGGGGAAATTAGGAACCCCAGCACCTGGGACCCTGAAGAATTTACCAGGAGTAAATGGCTTTCATGTAATTGCGTTGTTTGCTTTTTCTTATGTGATCTCATTTTTATGTAATTAAGAACTAAATAGTATTATCTCATGACCTGATAGTAGGATCTCTGTTGCCTGATAAAGGTTCCTTGGAGATGAGGTTGAATAATTATGAACCTCACCTGCTCTGCTTGTGGGAGTGGCAAGGACTGGATGAGCGTCCTCCGTAAGTGGAGCATAGGGTATGGGATTAAAGCATGAGAAGGGAGATTGTCTTCTGTGCCTGGTTTCTTCAGCTGTTTCTCAGTCTATAATGTGCCAGTGTGTACAGAGAAAATGGGTGGGATAACCCGGCTCAGCCCTACCAGCTCAACAAGGCAATTCTCATTTTGGTCACTAATGATACTCCAGTTGACCAGTTTTGCTTTGATACCAGTCAGTCATTGTCCCGGAGATAGACACATATGTAATAAATAAAAGTAACACCGGCAGCCACGTTCCCTGGTTTCTGGAACTTTGCATCTTACTCAGTTCCCAAGGCTTCAGGTTCCAGGTAGTTCTGAACATCATACATACAAAGACATCAGAGAGTACAAAGTAGTTTTCCACGGGGCTGGTCATGGTTAGCAGAGCCAAAGGGAATAGATGGCATACTGAGTAAGATCTGTGCCTGTGGTTTGCAGAAGACACGCCTAATGGGCAGACATTTCTGAACCCTAGATCTGAAGGCTAAACATATTTTTGCTGGGTGGAATACAGTCCCAAGAGATCATTTTTCCTAGCTCATATCAATTACGGGAGCTGATAGAATTCTGGAGGTTAACAGAACAAATTTGTTCTAACAGAACAGTGACTTTGTTCACTGATTTACCTGCGTTACTGCAGTAAGTGAGAAACTGTCAAGAGAATTGTACATGAGGAAAAGTGAGAGACTGGTCCAGTTTGTTGGAACATCAAATAGTTCTTTTATTGCCGATCCCCTAGCAAAGTTTCATATGCTGACACTGAATCTCTGCTTGAGGTTCATGGAGGGGCATGCTGTCTCCTAAACCTGAGCATGAGCAGAACTGAAGGGCCTATGCAAGAACCTGCAGTGAGCAAGAGACTACAGCTGAACAGGGGCAGGTGCTGGGCCACAGGTTACCCTTAAGGGGTTCCCTGTAGAATTTTGTGAACGGTTGAATACTGGTGTTCTTGAATACCATACTAAATTAAAGTTTCTAGAGAATAAAGAGGATTTTAAAAATAATACTTGGAGGAAGCTGTAAAGTACTCTAAATCAACAACTCAAGGAAATTGGTGGATTGTTGGAAATTGAGGCACATGCTAGTCAAGTTATGAAATTAAAATAATGTTTGAGCTTTTGGCCATTTAGTTTAGGAATAACCAAGGAATATTCAGCCTCTTCTCCATCTCATTTACCCAAAAGAAAGAAATGGAAAGAGATCAAGGCAGAATATGTTTTTATTATCTGGAACTTAGGCGTCAAAGTCTAGAGCAGAATCTAGTGAACTCCGATGAACCCCGTGGAGAGTTCATTTGGTAGATTAACATCAAAGTACTAGAACCAAAGCAAGCTAAAAAATGCTCTTTCTCCAGAGCCCAACTCAACAGAAGGATCTAATAGAACATGCATTCTTTTCACTGCGCAGCAAAATGGTGAACAAGAAAACACCCCGCTGAGTCCTGCAAAGTTGGCAGAGACCATTCACTCCAAGCCTCACATGTCAGAGCAACAACCTCTAGATCGCCCTCTTGCATGAGGAAAATAAGCTAGTGTGCACCCCTTGCTGAGCCATTTTGATTCACCAAGCTCCCAGGAAGGACAACAACCAGGTGAGTTAATTTGACCCTGTGATGGTTTTGGAGAACAAAAGCTGTACTGAGAAATAGTGAACTATTATATGTCATGCACATGAATAACTTGGTAGTGTTCCACACAGATATTTTTTTAGTTTTACCTCTAAGATCTCCCTCAGCTGACCAAAGTATTTCTTCCAGCCACAATAACTTTCCCTGAGAGAAATACATAATTTTTTTTCTGTCTCCTTAAATTTCTAGTGATGTTGGCCAACTGACCCATTAATCTGATTTGTGGGAGAGGAACAGACTAAGAGCGAAAAAATGGGTGCCCTACCCATGTACTCCCTAAACTGCTTTGGCAGAATTCAATTGTTCTCAAACACATTGATGAACACATCTCCTTTTAGGTGGAATAACTTGATTCCTCTTTGGGGAAGCCCTAAGAAGCTGGCAAGGACAAGTTTTGGTCTCTCCTTAGATATCAGTCATTGTAAATTATCCTCAAGAAAAAGAAGAAACAAAGAATTCTTGTCAGGGCAGCAAAAGTAGGGATATCCTATAATGAACGGTTCCTGTTCTTACTGTATGTGTATGTTCATGGAAGTTTCAGGTAAAAAGGGAGAAGAGGGAATGCAATTTGATTTTTTTAAAAGCACAGACTAGATTATTTGTAAGGACAGGGGCTCTTCAGTGGAAACTGGGAGTTAAAGAACAGAGCTTATATTAAAGACTTCCAGAAGCAGAAGTAATAGGTAGCTGGAGCAAAAAGACCCAATCCTCTGCAAAGGTGTATGAAAAATAATCTTTGGGCGCCTGGGTGGCTCAGTCGTTGGGCGTCTGCCTTCGGCTCGGGTCATGAAGCCCCCCGCATCGGGCTCCCTGCTCTGTGGGAAGCCTGCTTCTCCCTCTCCCACTACCTACCCCTGCTTGTGTTCCTCTCTCGCTGTCTCTCTCTCTCTCTGTCAAATAAATAAAATCTTAATAAAAAAATAATAATCTTCATTTAAATAGAGTATAAATCTTAGCAATGATCTGTGCAGAATATGACAAGGCTTCAAAAGGCCATTTGGACAGAAAGATAATTGAAACTGTAAATTCCCAGGATTTCCTGTAAGACTACTGCTCTGGGCACATTTATCTGTGGTTCCTCCATTAGTTGTACATCTTATGATCCCTTAGAAGAGTCCAAGAGACTACTTAGCAAGGAACGATCTCAGGAAGAGAACTACAGCAATTGTTTGGACCTTCAGTTCATTTACTGAATCTCTGCAAAAGCTCTACCAAGAAGCAGTTCAAGGCTAAGAGCTGGGGAGCAGTTGGAAGAAAGTACCCAAACAGTGATGAGTTAACCATGAGCCAGGAAACATCAATACAAAAGCAGAAAACTGGATCCAGAAACTAAGAAGACCTCTGCTTCCTTCTTTAACTCTGAGGAGATATTCTGAAAGGCCCTCTTCTACAACGACTCTAATTTGGACAAACTACTAGAGAATAGAAATAGCATGTATATTGGGGTAGGGTGCTCAGAATTTGAGTGTGTTAGCATTCGTGAATTGTTCGGGACAAAAGCTCTTAAGATGTTGGTTAACTTTGGATACTAAGTATGCACTAATAAATTATTACATTAAATTATTAAATTAAGTATGCCCTGTGCAATATTAAGGATACTCATTACAAGAAATGGAGTAAGTAATATTCTAAATAGTGGAGAGAAAATTAGAAATAAGAATTTAAAAACAAAAGTAGGGAAGTAACTCATTGTCCAAAGAAAGGCAAAAAATAAGCATCTAAATATGGGACAAATAGAACTCAAAGTTTCAGAAAGCCCAAATATGTGAAGACAACAGACAAAATATTGGTTAAATAAAAGAGATTATTAAGGTGAGCTCAAAAGTCGGTTGGAGCAATAGGTTATATACGAAAGACACACAAAAATATAAGAACAATGAACAACTAAAAGTAAAAGAATGAAAAGAATCTACCGGGAGAATACTAACCTAAAGAAGCTAAGGGAATTATTTTAATATTGACAAAAGTCTTTTTTTTTTTTTTTAAGATTTTATTTATTTGACAGAGAGAGAGACAGCGAGAGAGGGAACACCAGCGGGGGGAGTGGGAGAGGGAGAAGCAGGCTTCCCGCGGAGCAGGGACCCGATGCGGGGCTCGATCTCCAGGACCCGAGCCGAAGGCAGACGCTTAACCAGCAGAGCCACCCAGGCGCCCCGACAAAAGTTCTTTTTATACAAAAAGCATAATGAGAAGTAAGACATCTACATAGTTAAAAGTTTAATCCACCAGGAAAGTATAATAGGTCTAAATTTGTTATGTGCTCAACGAATTCACCTCAGATTATATGCCAGAAATTGGTAGAATTAAATAGGAGAATTGACAAATCCATCACCTTGGTGATCCACTTAAATACACCTCCCCCGGTTATTGATAGATTGAGCAAAAGGAAAAACCAGTAAGGATACATATTTGTACAACACAATTTAATAATTATGGGGAGTAAAAATCCATGCCTCACAATTACAGAATGTATGCTCTCAAACAGATATGACACTTAAAATAATTGCTACTATAGAGTGCAGTAAAGTCTCAACAAATAGCAAGTGTGTATGACATAGATGATGTTCTCTGACCACAATATATTTTATTTGAAAACCTGTGACAACAGGAATTGTAAGTTACTATGTTTGGAGACTTTAAAATGCCCACATAAAAAACTCTTGCATTAAATAACTCTTGTATTAAAGAAGAGATCACATACAGACTTACTAATAGTTAGAACTAAAGCAAAATGTTAATATTGTTAATCAATACACGCCGAATGCAGTGAAAATGGTATTTAGAGGGTTACAAGAGAGGAAAAGCTAAAAAATTAATGAGCTAGATTATCAATGTAAGAATTTTTTAAATTTTTAAAAATTAATTTAAAGTAGGCTCCACGCCCAATGTGGGGCTTGAACTCATGACCCTGAGATCCCTCTCCCACTCCTCCTGCTTGTGTTCCCTCTCTTGCTGTGTCTCTGTCAAATAAATAAATAAAATCTTTAAAAAAATTTGACACAGAGAGGGAGAGAGAGAGAGAGCCTGATGCGGGGCTCCATCCCAGGAACCTGAGATCATGACCTGAGCCGAAGGCAGACACTTAACTGACTGAGCCACCCGGGCGCCCCATGAGAATTTTTTAAGTAAAAGAATAAAATAACGTAGGGGCGCCCGGGTGGCTCAGTCGTTAAGGGTCTGCCTTCGGCTCAGGTCATGATCCCAGGGTCCTGGGATCAAGCCCCGTGTCGGGCTCCCTGCTCTGCAGGAAGCCTGCTTCTCCCTTTCCTTCTTCCACTCCCCCTGCTTGTGTTCCCTCTCTCACTGGGTCTCTCTCTGTCAAATAAATAAATAAATAAATAAATCTTTAAAAAAAAAAAAGAATAAAATAACATAGAAAGGAGATAACTACAAGAAAGTCATGACCAAAAAAGTACATTAACAGAGTAAAGAACCTGGTTCTATGAAAAGACGACTAAAACCTCTGGCAATGTTGACTAAGAGATGGAAATACAGAAATACAGTAAATAATGAGCTACAGAAAGGTAAACATGTAGATAAATATAAATCAATACTGATAAGAAAATAATGTCTTATGAGTATCAAAATATTTGTCAATAATGCATAAGATGGAGAGAGT